TAATGCTCCTCCCCACTTTTGGCAGCATACCCACCAAAAATAGCCCAAAGTGCACCTTGTCCCCTCCTCTTAGCAATCAAAAGTGCGTGGTATCTGAAATTCTCTCCTGTCTACCCCAGTCAAGATTCTTCCTAATCTTATGTGCCCTCCTATCTGATTAATCTCTGTGCCCTTATCCTTTTCAACGCCAAGGTGTTTAAAGGAGGGGTCTATTTGCTCTGTCTTTCGCTCCTTACCTACTTTTCAAAACTTGACCACAACCATATGCCTTTCAGTTTCATTCTTCTGCTGAAAACGATTTTCCTTCTGACCCCCATATCCTTGTAACTGCCCAAATCCAAGGAGCAATTTTCACACTATCCCCCATCAACATTCTATTGTATCTGAGATGCTTCTCTTAGTATCTGTATTCCAAGCTCTGTGCTCCAAACCTTTGGGCTACAGCGTTTGACTTCCTCAACCAAGGAAACTGGGAAGTCTCTTTCGCCTGCTGGGTGGTCCCACCTCTGGCACGCACCTGTCAAACCCCACCGAATCACCTTCTCTCCATCTCAGGCTCGTTGTCTTAGTTTGGAACCTCATCCCCCACCCTCCCTCCCCCAGACCCGAAAGCTCTGCGACCTTGCACAGATGACTCAGTTTGCTCTTGTGTGGAATGAAGATGATAATATTATCTGCTGCCAAACCTTTGAGGACTGGTGTGAATATTAAATACGTTAGAATATATACGTAGTCCCCTATGTCTGATGGCTCAATTTGGCATTTTTTTTAACTTTATAATGGCTCCAAAGCAATTTGAATTCCGGAAAGCAGTACTCAAGAGTGTGAATTCTGATCTCTCTAGGCTGTGTGGCATGGTACTTTACTGGAACTTGGAGCAGCCACAGGAGGCAAAGCTCCTAGTCAGTCACACAGTCCTGAGAGTACATAGCTCCCACTTGACAGTGCGCTGTGTAGCTAAGCCCCGGTGTCCAGCAGGGCATGTGCAGTAAATGCATTTTTACTTACAATATTTCCATGCTACAATGGGTTTACTGGGATGCAAATCCATCGTAAGTTTGGGAGCATCTAGAGAAAGTACTTTGAACCATTTGTGTCTTAGTGAAAATGCACAATGGATCCTCACTCTTACGTGATGTAACAGCATGGACCACAGCCTGCTGTGACTGTTCCCCTCCCCTACACTGAAGATCATAATCTACAGTGCGGGCATTTTCAGGCTGTTGTGCAGTGTCTGGCTAATAGTTATTGTGTAAGTCAGTTGTTTTCACTTTTTACAAGGCCCACCATATGGTAGCTACTCACTAAATATTCACTGAATTAAATTGGGCAGAGATGAATTGATCTAGAAAAAAATAGAAGATAACAAATGTCATCATATCTGGTAAGTCCAAAACTTTTAATTTTTAACTGCAAACAACTTTCATTGGGATTTTTCCTTAAGGTTAAATTAATGCTAAGTGCGTAACTCCACATTCCTGGCAAATTTAGAATTTTTTCCTTAATGTAATTTGCTTTCAGGTTTTGTTTTCTATGTGCTGCCATTCCCTTTGTTTTTGTTCTCACTGCATAACTCAAGATAACATTTCCCTAAATATTCACTGTCCCCTGTATCCATATGCTATTGCTGTGTAACAAAAAAACCCACATAACCTCAGAGAATACAACAAGAAAGGTTCACTTCTGTTTTTCTGTGGATCAGGTAAGCCAGGATAGGACTGACTGGGCAGCTCTGCTTTAACTGCAAGCCTGACTGGACTTTTCACTAAGTATTGGCTACATTTCTAGTCATGTTTATTTATTCGGAAGCCAGTTTGAAGGGACAGTAGCTTCTCAGGGTATACCTTCTTTTAGCAATAGCAGGAAGGCAAGAGAGAGTAGAAGTCCAGGATGCTTTTTAAGAACTTAGTTTGTATCTGATACATTTCCACTCACATTAAATCAGTGCAGCCTTGCCACACAGTCGAGCCCAGCATCAGTGGGATGGGAAAGGAATGCTGCATGCTCTAATCAATGGCACCATGTGACTAAATGCAAGGAGCTGAATGTAAGAGTCTAATTCAGACGACAAAAATTCTGATGATTGTAACAATGACTCTAGTGCTCCCAACATATTTCCTAGGTAACCCTGCTGTCCTTTTAATATCTTAGTACTTGGTCCTTCCCACTCTCTGTTTTCCTGCCCATTTTCTTTACAAACTTTACCAGGCAAACTGCCTTAATACAAACTATGATTATTACACATATTTGTATATCTACAATATAGACACTGTGGTTATCCTTTCCAAATAACTGAGTAAATGAAGTGATTTAGCAACAGGAGAAAGGGTGCAAATGGACTCAATTAGTCAGTGGAGGTCAGAGCAAGTACAGTACTTGTCTCTAGCTTCTTCTATCCACTCTTGAAAAATAAAGCAAAACTTTCTACAAAGTGCAGTATTCACTTCATTGAAAAATCTAGTTTTCTTCAAAGACCTTCACTGGTCAAACTTTCTCTCTCCCTTTCCTCCTCTTCCTCCTCCTTATCTTCCTCCTTCTTCTCAGCTTTCTCTCTCCCCATATCCGCACCAAATGGAACGGAAATACCTAACCCTTACACAGAAGAATGTCTTCTTTAGCACTCGGTACCTTGTATGCCACTTGCTAGGTTCTGGCTTGTATGCTTTTTGGTCAGTTCCTTTAGCCCCTGTGATATCAGAAACATCCTGATGTCTTTTACAGCCTAAGACGCCTGCATCATTGCTGTGAAGATGGGAAGCACTTTGGGTATTGATTTTAATTCCAAAGTCCATTAATAAGACTTTTACTTTATAGCAGTTCTTCCTGACTATAATCTCTAGTCAATTTAGTCATTTGATCTGAAGTTCTCAGTTTTTTTTTTTCCTATAAGATATTTTACATTACTCTTTCTTATAGAGTTGCACATTCTAGGAACACACTTTCGTTACATGACCAAGTGTTCAAAGCAAATTCCTACTTTTTTATACTCTGTTTGTTTTGAGTTTATCTTCTGTATTTTGAATAAAAATGTACATTTCCACAGTGAGGTGTACTATTTGTAGTGCAGGAGCCTTAATTTTTTTCTCCTTGCTTAGTTGTTACCAATTTGTGGCATTAATTTTTCCCCTAAGATGTATGAACATCATTACTTCCCAGAAGACTCATGGTACCTCACCTTCAGTATCAGTGTATGTTCTGCTATGCTGTACTATATATTGGCCTCATTTATAAATATATTTTTAAAAATTCATCAATTACAATAAGCAGTCTTTCAAGAAATGTTTATCAGAATTCCACTGTGTGGTAAATACTGTCCATCTAAGACCGAGGGACCTAGTAAGAGAGGAAATATGGATGGTCTGTCCTCTCCTGTGTTCTGTGTTCTAAGCAAGAGAAGCAACTAAGCTGTGAACACATCTTTCTACTATGTCAAATGCAGTTAAGAGCTCCGAGAAAAGTAAAGCAGGGAAAGTAAATTAGACAACGGTATTGGTTGACACCAGTCTTTCAGAGGTGAGTAGGAAAAGCTCCAGTGACAAGGTGCTATTGGATCGCAGACCTCAGGCAACAGGGGCTCTTTGCAGAGGAAATAATAAGGCAAAGTCCCCTTGGCAGAAGCGTGGCGGGCAGAAATGAGCAGTGTGATTTAGCAACAGGAGAAAGGGTGCAAATGGACTCAATTAGTCAGTGGAGGTCAGAGCACGTACAGTTCTGTAAGTCACAGTAGGGACTTTGATTTTATTCTCATCAAAATAAGACGCCCTTGGACTTGGCCCATATTAATTTCATCAGCAGCAATAAACATCCATGCTACTGAAAATGTTCTTGAAATGGACGATAGTGAAACAGGTGATGCTGAATATTGTAAATGTAATTCCTGCTGCCAAGCTGTACATAAAAATGTTTAAAATGGTACATTTTACAGTAGGTGTTACTTTGCCACAATTTTTAAAAATCTACGTGTGCATACGGGGGGCCAGAATCAGCTCGAAGTGCTGGTAACTGTAAGACCACATACACGATGTAGGCACTCAGAATCTGCCTCAAGAGAATATATTCCATACATCATAAATGTAAATACACAATGGAAAGTAGCACAAATCATGTTCCAAATAAGAGAGGTAGGCTAGGATCTCCCATCGTGTGTTCTTGGATATATTAGTCCAGAGAGATGCTCTCTGAAAGAAAAGGATCTCCTGCAAATTAGTTGAGAAAAAAATGCACCCTCTACCCCATCACAGAAACGCACAGGCTGTAACAATAACAACAAAATTTTAAGGGAACCTGTTTAACTGTGTTTAATCTGATGTTGCTAAGCCCTTTTTTCATAGGCCCTTTTTCCCACATGACCTATGAATATCCTAAGGAACTGGTGCTCCTAAGAACCTAGGTTTGCAGGAGATGAAAAGCTGAGATAGCAAGGAAAGAGTCTGTGGAGAAAGTGGGACTCAAAGCAGAGACTAAAGGAAAGGTGATACTTAGGTTAGAGGCAAGAAAGGGCATTCAAAGCAGAAGAAATGTAAAAATAATTAATTGCAAAGTACCTCTCCTGCAGCTGGCCTCTTCAAATGCCACTGAGCTGCAGAATAAATGTCCTAAATGTACTTATAAAATCATAATCTTGATGACCACTGAGAAATTTCTAAAACATGTTTGACACCAAAGACGGAGATTAATTATTTTGTGGAAATTACCTTAATTCCTTGTCATTATTTTATGGATAACAAAGTTAAGGCCCAGAGAGACTATAACTTACTCAATCATCTCTGCCTAATCAATGGCAGGGTGTCAGCTTTCTTACTCCAGGGCCAGGGTCCTGTTCCATAAAGAAGGAAGTTATGATCTTTGTACGTCTGCCATAGACACTTGGAAATTAAAGCAAAAAATCAATTCCTATGCAAGATGAAGATTTCAGCGCGCAATAGCTATGGAAGCAGAATCAAATTAAAGAACAACGCGAGCTTGGATTTTAATGAAGCTCATCTTTGTTTCTTTTGCAGATCAAATTTTTGGCTCTCATCTGCACACAGTGTGTGAACGTGAAAATTCCACAGTTCCACGGTTTGTAAAGCAATGCATTGAAGCTGTTGAAAAACGAGGTGGGTAACTGAATATGCAGTAGTTCCTCTCCGTGTGGCACCTTCTGAATAACCGATACTCAACTTAGCACTGCAGCTCTGTTTGTCTAGGAAGCCGTGCAATTAAAACTTCGCTTCTGTTAATCGGTTAAGAGGATCAAGTTTCTTATTAACTTCAGTTTGTTTTTACAATAGGGACATTAGTAATTCTCACTAATGTTCTTTTTTTTTTTAATATTTTGTCTGTCTGACATACTGTTGATTCAATTGCAAACTTCTTGTTTCCAAGCCAGTGATAAAACATTCATAAAATATCAGCACTCACAGTGTTAGAACCCTCCTAACATTCATGCTGGTAGATATTGTGCCAGAACAATTTTTGGTAAGCCCCCAACATTACCCAAGTGAAGCAAATAACATTTTTCCTTGCAGAAAGTGATGCCCTATCTTCCACATGTTCTTATTTAGTCAGAGTACAGCTTACTGGTTTTCCTGGAACAATTAACAGGTACACCTCCATTTTTCGGATGACCTTTGATTCCTCTTTTCAGCATTCTGCTTTTCTTATGAAATTATTTCTTCATGCAGAACATAACAAAACAATCCCAGTTCACTCATCAGTTCAATGCTAGTCTATCTATGGGGTGTTTTTCCTTTAAACTATGACTTCATCCATTCAAGGTCATTTTTCCTGGAAGATACACATAGTAGATTTAGAATCTTAAAAAATGTATTGTATAAAAATGTGAAGCTTCATCACCATCTGTTACAAGTTTATAACATTCCCAGGATCTAGGGGGATATATATCATGCAAAAGATAGAGGTGTTTGCAGAAAAAAAGAATTGGTGAACCTATTCTCATTTCAATCTCCTACTTTCTTAAAACAATAGAACCAAAGGGAAAAAATCTTTACCAAGTAATCTGCTAGGAAAAGCCATTTTAATTCTTTTGATGTTACCTGCCTTTATTATGGAAGCATAATAAAAATGTTATGCAGTTTCTAACTCCTGGAAATTCATACTTTAATTATACTGTAAGGACAGCCTTGGGATCCTATTATTCCCATATCAGTAGGGAACGAGAAAATAACAAGAGGGGAAGAGTGGGTAAGGGATGTGGATAAAGACAGTAGCTTTGGGGAAAGCAAATGAACATGTCAGGGAGAGGCGCTGAGGGTACTGAGAAATAGTAGGAAACAGAAAATGCAGAATAAACACGAGGTGAGGCGTCTGTGAGGAATGAAGTCAATTGGAATGTAGAGGGAAATGTGTTTTTATTGTATATTTCAATTTCATGTAATTTTCCAAGTACATGTTTTAAGGAATAAATATTATTTAATACATACTTACAGTAAAAATGGATCACTGAGGATATTACTATGTTGTTATTTCCAATAGCTAAGTTATCATCATTCCCAGGAAGTCTTCATTCACTTATACATACTCAGTACTGATGCTGTGAGTATGGTTCTATTAGACCAAAAATCTGAATGGGACATTGGGGGAAGCTGTGTGTAGTAGGTTGTGCTCATATATGAAGTTCACACATGAAAAGGAGCTCTCTACCTCTCGATTTATGAATTTACCCTAGCAAAATGAAGAACTCTGTTGCATGCAGGCTTGCAGTGTGCAGATACCATAATACTACAGAGTAGAGAATGTCTATAAATAGAAATTGGATCTTTTGTTCATGGGATTCTGTTGGTGATTTTTAATAAAATAAGACAATGTTTTTGCTGACAGGAGCAATCATCTCTGGCATTATATTTCATTGTCCCAGTGTTTACTCTTAAAATGAATTTGTAGATCCGGCGCTAAACAGGCACTAATCACACATATGATTATTAAAATAATTCCCGAGCATTTTAATGAAACTCATAGATGACAATTCTGCAAAGCAACTAATAATTCAAAGCACTTTGGCAATGTCAGCTTAAAGGAACTCTATGGAAATGCCCAATAAAAATTCAGAAGCACAAGATAAACGTTTCACCTCATTGCAAGATTTACAAGTGTGTACTTTTGATTATATTTTTCTATGATCATTTTGTTGCATTAATATTCTTACATTTACACGCCAATTCTATTTACTCAAAGTGTTGTTTTTACTAAATTCTGGCATACAGCACCTCAGGACAGAAATAATTTATGTGAATCTAAGTCCAATGTTTATGCAAGCTTCTGATGACATTTTATGCTGGGGTTGGTATTAGGAAGTAGCATATAAAGGTGCCAAGTCTCTCGGCACTGCTGGGACTCGGCATATCGAGAGCCTCCTCTAATGGCCAGATCCTCTTGCAGCCAAGATGCTCAAGTGTGGAGTCATGGGACATGCCTATGGGACAGTTATGGGCAAAGCAGTTTTAATGAAAATTGAGTGTTTTCCTCTCACAGATGTAGGGAGTTGTCCTTCAAACTCCCTACAGCAGCATATTGGCTATTATTAAAATGAAACAAAACAAAATTTCTTTCCTTTTGCTTTTTCCCCCCAAGCTAATTTTCTGTTTCTAAAACAATCATCTATAAACTGTAGATGTATTTTTTTTAAATGTTTCTCATATGTTTGATTTAAAATAGAGGACTGTAAGAAAGCTAGATTTCATCATTCATTCATTTATTCATTCAGGCAGTTATTCATTTCAATGCTTGTGTTGACGGAATCAAATTGCTCATTCTCCTGTAATCTTTATTGACTTCCAGTAAGGTGATACTAGTCACCCCTTAAATTTTGCATCTCTTAGACATGCTAAAAGGAAATGTACCTGTAAGCCAGCTATGCTAACCACTATACCACCAACGCCTCTAAGGAAATCTATTTGTGAGCTGCACGTAAAGCAATTTGGTGGAGAACGTGCTTAGTAGATCTCCTTATCTGGATTTGGTTTCCTTTATTTCTGTAAACCACTGGTGTCCTCTCCTCCTCATCCACTATAATGACTAGATTAGAGCCATTTTGGTGGTTTCTGACATGGCTTACATTGCAAACATACAGGAACTTGGAAGAACAAAGTTTCAAGGAATGCATATGCCATTCTTTAGAGCTCTTGCTGGGACTCCTTAGTTCTGCATTGACTTTATAGGCATAGACCTTGCATAAGAGAGCTCATAATTAGCAAATAAAAGCTTCAACTTATGTTTCTTCACTGAAAACAATTTCCATGAAAATAATGCATTATTCAGCCTATGCTGAATTCATATTCTTGGTAAAATGAGATCACTTGACACTTTTGGGGGATTAGAGGAACAAGCATCTAGACGGAGGCATTGTGACATATTGGCATTATGTAAATACAAGCCACGAGAAGTGAATTTCTCACTATTTTATAGAATACTTTGTGCAGCTCAGGATGATGTAAAATATGTATAGAAACTGCTCACTTAAAAACAGGGTCATTTGTACCTGTTGGAAACAAGGATCTCATTCATGAACTAAAGTCTATAGTCTAGAGTGGTAGTAAAGTAGGTAGTAAGACCTTAAGTCATAGTTCTTTTTGTGCAAGCCATGTAACTGACTACCCTTTGTGAAAGTCCACTATTTGGCAAGAAGCTTGCAAGATATGTGGCACATTGTAAGAAGTCAATGAATATCACTTGAATGAAGAAACATTGTGTGTACTACATGCAGGCAAAAAGTAGCTTCTGAGTTCCCACTGTGGGGGACTAGTTGTGCTACTGAGAAGGTGGAGGAGATAGTAAACAAACAGACACATAAGTATGTCAGCACAAACTGTGATAAGAGCTATGACAGAAGAGAACAGACACTACAAGACAGAATAACCACCGCCATAGTTGTAAAAAGCAAGAAAATCTGTATGTTTAAAAAAGGATACACCCAATCCTGATAATAAACACATGCTTTTCAAGTTTTAGCCTTCTTATAGGCCCTGGAGAAGCTCAGCAGTGCCCTATTTACCAGGTTCTTGTCTTAATCCCTTGTAGCAATGCAATGAAAAGAGAAACATGGTGTGAGATACAGCACCTAAAAAGATATGTTGTAAATTAAAAACTAGTCCTTCCTACTCACTTGCTTTTTTTTGTTTGTAGTTCAGGGTGCGCTTGTACTTGCTATGGATCCCGAATATACCTCAAACTAAACTAACTTCTTCCTGCCTCAGTCTCTGGAGTTCTGGGATTACAGTTAAATAAGAAACATGTTTTTTTTTCAAATCATGTTGGGCTTATCTTTTATTCCTTTCCCCCCACACTCCTCCTCCTCCTTCTTTTCTGCAATGCCAGGGACTGAACCCAGAGCCACAATCTGCTAGGCAGGCACTCTACTACTCAGCTAGGTCCTCACCCTCTCCCTATCACCACCCATGACTTGCAAAAGACTTCTTTTATAAAGTGACAGAGCTAACAAAATGGATGAGCATATCTGAACCTTGAACATCTTTTTGTACACCTCGTACAGTTTCACTCATTTGAAAACGGAGTGATTTTTTAAAATTACATAAAATGCAAGTTGCCATTCACCATTGGGAATACAGTCTAAGTCTCACAAGTCATCCTTCGTTCAGAACTCCCAGCTGCAGCTAGCAAACCCCCAAACTATTTCACAAATCCAGAGGACACTTAGCGATCTGTTGCACAATTGTGGGGATATACATAACAAAACTGAACTACATGCTTATAAATAGTTAAGATAATACATTCTATGTCATATGCTCCTCACCACAATTTTAAGAAAAAGATACTATGTCCACCCAATTTGATGGTACCAGGTATGAATACTTCTCAGAAGGCCTCAGCAGATGATAATCACCAAGACCTTTGTCCTTTCTGATTTTTTTCCAAAACACAAAAACGCTATGACTGGAATGATACACAAAGTCACATATTTGACTGAGTGCCTAAAAGCCACCCTGGGATCCATAACCTTGCTTAAAGATTTAGGAAAGACCTTTAGTCTACTTCTGAGAAGGTCCTTAGCCTCAAAAACTTTATCTCTCAACTTGACTTCATAGCAGCTGTTATATTTTTTTGCTGTCATTTGTTTGACAGGATCCAGTTATAGGTTCCG